CGTCTTCTTGACGGCTCGGGTACCCTGATATAGGAAAATATCTACTTCCCTATCTAAATATATTGGCTCACATTGTATCATGCTTATTAATTTATTGAGCCATGGATCTTTACTCCGTAATGGGCAATAAAACGTGATGGTAGCTTTATGGGTTTTTTTAGGGTTTTATTTAATAATAGGGCAATTAATTGCCATGGTGGATTAGCCCACGCATTATGTTTGGAGAGGTCTTGTTGAAAGGCATCTCCTAAAGGATGATTTAAAGACCTGTAATTTTTAAGTTGTGCATTGTGATGTGCAGCAAACATGATTCGAAGCGTGACAACATATCCGGTAAGTGGCTATGCATCCCTGGTAGATGTTTGATATCAAAATGAAACTTTGATATTGTATCATGCCATCGGCTCAGTAATTGAGAGTCTGGCTTCATCTCCTTCATATATTGAAGGGACTTCTGATCACACATCAGCGTAAAAGCTGTTCCGTATAAGTAATCGCGGAAGTGTGTTAAAGCTGCTACTATGGCTAGTAGCTCTTGCTTCACAGTTGGATAATTCAACTGTGATGCATTCATTGCTCGGCTAAAGAATTGTATATACCTAGGTTTATTATCTATAGCCTGGTATAGTACGCCTCCGAGTGCTAAGTCTGATGCGTCCGTTGCTATTTCTAAAGGCACACCATGGGGCTTGTTGGACTGCGTGCTTGAGCGCTTTAAATGCGTCATCACATTCTTTAGTCCATAAGTCTTCTAGTTTACCTTTATGACATCTTAAGTGTCCAAAGGGTTTAAGATAATCAGCTAAGTGTGGTACTCCGTCAGAGAAGAAGTTTACAAATCCACACATGCTATTTACATCTCTTCCTGTAGTTGGTGTTCACCAATCTAACAGGGGTTCCACCTTACCGGGGTCGATCTTAATTCCTTCCCCAGATATATGATAGCTTAAGAGCTGTATTTCGCTCATTGCGAAGTGACAGTTCTTCTCGGTAATCTTGAAGGTTTGTTCGTTGAGTCTCTGAAGGACTCGTCCGACTAATGCGGCGTGTTCGCCCTTAGTCTTCAAAAAGATTACTATGTCATCTATATTGACTTGCACGTTAGGCATGTCTACAGACATTTCCTCCATTACTTGTTGAAAGAATGCTGGTAAGGAGTACAACCCGAAAGATGCACCTCTAAACCTGTATTGTTTACCCTTCCAAGCAAAACTAGAGTACTTACGATGGGGTTCGTAAATTTGCATTTGATGATACCCCTGTGTTAGGTCTATGGTTGTAAACACCGTAGCTCCTTCCATTCGTCTTAGTAGCTCGTTTATATGAGGAAGATGAAAATTATGAGTAGGCAATAATTTATTTATTGAGCTCATGTCTAGACATACTCTGACTTTCTTAAATGTTCCGTCAGAGTTGTGTTGATCAACTGCCAATGGTGCTAAGTTTACTGGCGTTTGCTGGTAATTGATTTCGATTTCCCCATCGGATAACCATTTTTCGACTTGTTTTTTAACTACAGCTTCGTGTCTCCAAGAAACATAGTTTCTTGAAGGACATTTGAACTTAGTAAAGTCTACCTTGGTCAAGTCAGGGCTGACGTATCCATCGTTAAAGCGGAATTTCGCCCAGTCGGTTATTCTTATCTTCTTATTTACTAATATAAGATCCATTATCTTATCGGCAAAGCCAGGAATTAATTCCTTGACTGTGTCCGACGGCGGTGCGTATGGTTTCAGGCAATTATCGTCTGATTGATCCTTTAAAGGATCTATGTTGTTAGGCCTAACGTGAGCAAAACGCTCATTCCGACTATAATGTCGTACTTCTGTGACATCTTAAAGATCACAGCTTGAGTCGTGATATTTCTATCATCGGCCAGTGAGATTTTAACATCTGTGGCCATGGTATCACAAGAAGTTTTATCATCTGCTAAACAAGGTGAGTAATTTGAGTTCGCCTTTCAATGTCTTTCATTAATGCAAAGCGGTCGGATATACATGAAATTTCTGAACCAGGGTCAATCAATGCAAGGACTTTATCTCCGTTGCAATATACAGGGATTATTACACGCCCATCTAAGGAGTCGTTGTATTTTCTTTGTAACGATTGTACCTGGTAGTACTTTCACTCCAACTTAATGTCGGGTTTCGTGTCACAAGACGTGGCGTGATAGCCATCGGTCTTCTCACACTTATCGCACCTCGCAAGGAAGTGTGTACAGTTGGGTGCATGCCTTTCTTTCCAATAACCGTTAGGGATCAATTGGTACATGTCATACCCACACTGGGTGTCGGCACATTTCTTAATCTCCTTATATGGAGGTTCCTTATCCTTTGGTTCCGCGGAGTCGCGTGCACGTGTCTGGTTAGGACACGTCTGATGAGGCTTATCATCGGACGTCTGGCGTGAGAGGTATCTTTGATCACGAAGCTCGCGCGGTTTACTATTTACCGCCTTTCCCTTCGAGAATATTCGGTGTGCGGGGTAAAGAGTGGATACAGTATCATAAAACTGTTCCCACTTAAGTCGAGACAGATGGAACTTTGTTTCATGTCCCTTGTCTCGTGCCTCAGTGGCGCAATTACGTCGCAACTCAGTGTACAGACTCTCTCGGTCGTTGTTCCCTATGTTCTTGCAAAACACATGCTTAGCCAGGAACTCGTACCATTTCTGAGCCTTGTCCTTTGCTATATCGGGACGCTTCAGATCTGCATCGAGTTTCAGAATGTAACTCTGAATAGGTGTATTCTCGACTGGTTCAGTTAGAATTGAACTCAGTCCAGGACTACGCATGTCCTTGCTTAATAGGGATGTCTCTGCAGGATCAATAACTTGTTCCCGTAGGATCAAATGACTGCATTAATGCAGATATCCATTGCTGGGGAGCGATATCATTTGTCTCCAGTATAACCGTAAACGCATTTAGCGTACGGGTTAGCGTGTCGAGGTCATGGTTATTTATGAATTTGACCTGCTTGCTGTTGGCATCCCAGTTCGACTTAAGTCGACTGATCTGTCCCTTGTACTTCTGGTTGTCCCGGTGGTCTTGTCCACGTTGGGCTTGAAGTAGCTGATCGATGCGCTTCTGCTTGATCGCTGTTATATTAGCATAATACGACACATCTTCTTCACGATGCTCTCCATGAGCGATTTCTATATCTTTGGTGTAGAAGTCGACCGCTTTATTAAGTTCGGCCACCTCATCAGAGAGGAAATCTTCTGCGGGTTGGTGCACAGCGGTGCGATCGAAACGATTAAATTCAACGTCGTTAATACGTCTACGAGGGTTCTTATTACCCCGTGTAAAATCTATCGTCGAGGCCTGTCTGTGCTCGGTTCCTGGGATAGGTGTTGGCCTTAGGAGTTCGGGTGGTATTGCCTTATGGACGACATATCCAGTTTTAACTGGTTCCCGACGGCGAGGTTCTCCCCAATCTGGTAGAGGCGGCGGAGTGTTTCTACCTGCCTCTGGGTCTACAATACCTTCAAGGACAGGCGACTCATGGCCGGGCGAAAGTACGGGCGAAGCAAGGTCCTGGACTTCCGGTGGTAGTTCCTCGTAAGGTATAGATACGCTGAGTACATCTGGGTCTACTGCCATACATTTGGTGCTCAGGTCCTTACGCTTTTCGGGCGTAATCGCCTGTCGATGTTCTGTCCACTTCTGTAGGGCTTCAGTAGTGCCGGGAGAAACGTGCTCGCATAAGTGCTGTGAGTGCTTTCCTGATCCATACATTCGATCTACATGTTCAACAGTCATGCCTTTCTTAAGAGCGGCTAGCTGATTCTTAAGATCAGCGTTTTCAGTCGTAAACTTACTTATGCGCGTTGGCTCAGTGGTTTCGGACATAGATTCGGGTTTGCCACTTGAGCTTGCCTCCTCTTCTGGTTCCGGTGCAGGTATCTTCTGAGATTCGTCTTTGTCCCCTATAATTGGGGGCTTTTCTTTCTGAGTTTCATCCGAAGAATTGGTTGGGGCGTCCTGAGACATGTCCCTTGTCTCTCTTCTTGGCTTCGAAAATGCGAGCTTCGAAGTTGAGGCAATCGTTGGCCCTCGGGCCCTCTCTGCAGAAGTAGTCTCCTTAATCGGAGTGGCTACATCCTTATCTGAAGCATTGTCCGGACTATTATCGCTATAGACGAATGCTTCGGCTACGGGGCGGTTAAACGCATCGGCAGCGGCGGCGGTTGCTTCTGCGGTAGCAGTAGCTGCGGCGGCACTAGCAGCCTCTCTCTCCATCTTCTTACGTTCGGCCTTGCGTTTCTTGAAGGTGTATTTTCTCTCTGAGTCAAAATAACTAACTTATGACTGCAGTCTGTCACAAAGTATAAGTAGCCAGATTGATTTAGGCCATATAGTGGTAAATTTACTCTGCATTATACGGCTTTGTAACCTTGGCTGTACTCATGATATAGTTAAAAAGTCCTGGCGGTCCATCGTCTTCGTCCGAACTACAAGTTGGATTATTTAGAATAAAATCTGATAGTTCTCTCTCGTCCGGCTCGGTGTTTGGCTTCATCCCAAATCCAGGGCAATTTTCGAGGGTTGCCATGATGGCTTCTGGCATGTCATCATCCGACAATTCGACGTCAGATTCGACATAGTCGGCAACTGCTGAGAATGCTCTAACGCCTTCATCGTCACTACTCGAATTTTGCTCATCATTCTTGTCCAAATTAAACGTTATTTTAGGAGGTTTACGCATTTCCTCCCTCGAGTAGTATCCTCTTACGTTATATGCTTTTCTGCAAAATTCATTGCGTTTATCTTGATGATAGTTGGGTTTCTTCGACGGATAGTCGGCACGTCGTGAGTAGGGTGTAGATTTCGGTGTTGAATAGTCTTTGCGGTAAGACTTGAACTGGTAAGACTTGAACTCATCAGCTCTATTACGGTGATGTCGTTCGTCGGAATTATTTCCACGATTGTTGGAGTATCGGTTTTCATAAGGTTTGCGATGTTCCCTGCGGTCAGAGTAGATGTGCGGTCTGGGTCTGCGACGACTGGATCGGCAATCACGAGCAAGGTGACCTGGTTTGCTACAATTGAAGCACTTTCGTTCTGCTCTGGCAGAAAGTGCTTTCTCTCCTCCTCTTTTCGGAGATATTCGCAGAGCTCCTCGTAACTCATGACGTCAGTATCAACTGTGTTGAGATGAGTTCTTGCTGCTGTAGAGACCTTCCTTCAAGACGGTCTTCAAGTCAATCTCAGACGGTGGAGCCTCGCGTTTCTCCAATTCCATTTTTTTTCAAATTAATATCACCAATAAAGGCGTCCAAAGGTTCGTTACTGTGTTTTTGCCCAGAGCTCCTTTCTCAAACGGCCGATTCCTCCCTGGGTGTTAATCTTAAATTTGGTTTGCAATGCCTTGAAAAACGCGCAGGGTTCCTTCATGATATGGAGTAACTTCTGTCGAAGTTGTCGAGAGATCGTATGATAAATTGACTCAGACGCGGCTCCACGATCCTCTTGAGTAAACGTTTCACGTCGAGTCTCATAGTAGTTCTCGGGTGGCGTAGCGGCTTCGATCAGTTGTAGGCGATGTAAAATCAGCGGGTTCCTATAGTAGAAGCACATGTTAACGTATATTATAAACGTAATAACGTTTAAACGATATAACGGTTCTGAAACCTGGTATCCGTTGAAACGCAATTGTAGATAATTGTATCTGTATAATAATCATATAATCTAATTATAGATATATTGAATTTACAGAAAACAAACAAACAAATAATCTAATTTGGATAGTTGGAATTACAATTGTATACGACAGAGGCCGGAGACCCTGTTAATATTGATATGATGGTATTTCTACACTGATGTGTTTTCCATCAGAATATTGGGATACAACACTGGGTGAGTCTCAAGTGATATTGACACTTGATGACACATGTTGTATTACCAAATACTCTCAGCGCGAGATAGCCTACTGAGAAATGGGGCATAAAAATGATCCCCCCTAGCCGGCCAACTAGATGTGCCCGTCTATGCCTTCAATGGGATGGAGAGCTAGGTACCTTGTGATGGGGTATAGGTACAGACATTTAACTGTACCATCATGGTGTTTTTGGTTTCTTTTATTTTTCTTAAGTTGGACTTAGAGTTATTTTACTGGTAATTGCGATTGGAAAGTAATTTTGAGGCGTGAAATGGTGTAGAAGAAAATATCATGCATCCAATGAAATGAAAATCTGATCTTAGTTACTGACACCGAATAAATCTAGACCGAAGTATTGAGTGATTAGAGCGGAGACATAAAGACAATAGTCTCAGTTTTACATCCCCTAATCTTTAGCTCATTACCAAGGGCTGAAGCTAAACTTAAAATTACATAGTGCAAATTTACTTTGAAATCTTATTTTTCGTTTACGTTAACTTATTGGAACCGATAGTCAGCCTGGTTAGTCTGACTTTTACAGCGACCCTGTTTCATCAGGATCATATCCAATTGAGTTTTCCATTGGTCCCAATGGACCGGCTTATGCAAATCAGGAATTTAGCCTTTGGTTTCATATCGAGGCTTGTCATTCTCAGAGTAGAGGTAAAACGGACTTGATAAGTTATTGTTCTCAGATATTAAAGTATCTTAAAATGGTTTAAGTTTTAAGTGAATAGTTGTGATCTATTTGATTCGAGTCCCTGCTTTTATATGCACTGGACTCGTCATCCTTTGAGCCATTAAAAAAACACTTCTTAAGGTGAAAAAGGTTCTCACTCAATCTTTGATCCAATCCAACGGCAGCGTCGCCACGTCTTCAACTGACCGTGGCTTTCATTATAATCTTTGGCCTTATACATTTAGAATGTACTCCTCCGATATTTAGGGATGCCCTTACGCCCATCAGAGATTTTCTATATTGATGATTCCGTACTCCCGGCACTTCGGCTTCGAGATTAATTTCCATCTGTAATATTTATGTTCTCCTCACTGAGTTTAGGTTCTCTCCTTGGTTGATGCTGGGATAAACCTTGTTAAGCCTCCGGTGTTTGACCGTAGATATATGCTTGGTAACCAGTCCTGGTTTACTGTAATCAATATGTTTAGGTATA